TTACATTTTAAGTACATTATTATGACAAATGTCCCTTTAAAAACAAAACTCACTATTTAAGGAAATGGTAATCAGCTGAAAGAAACAAAGCCAATTAGTTACATGCTGTTAGCTTTGTTCCCCATGAGACATAGTTCCTTGATGTCTGTAGAAGCAGCTTATTCATTAGAATTAAATTCGACAAATGGCACCTTCATTTCTTCTCTTCACTTTTGTGGTGTGAGGTCTTTACTTTGAATCTATTTTAAATGTTTCTCAGTTGACCAATCAAATTGCTGCAAATCTGAGTTGACTTCTTAACCTTTAAGAATTTCTCATAAATTCCTTTCTTCTGTGGATGTTCCTGGTAGATTTCATTGGTTTTCTCCCTACTAATATATCTAGCTCTACTTAATATAGTACGCTTAAGGGAGGGATTTGCCCTTGATAGGGCAGTTTGTTAAGGATGGTCAGAGGCAATTGCTGGTTGGTTCTGTCCTTTAAATCTAATACCCAAAAGTGCTCATTGGGCTTATCACCTTGTCTTCAGACAGCCTAGCAATGTGAAACCTGCCATGACATCAAAATATTAGAATCATTACATGCAAAGGTATTTGTTCATTGGTTATGCTTTAAGAAACAATCCAATCTCTTAGATGTAAGAATCAATTAGCTTCCTGTGGCTTCTCTTGAGCTATGTAGAGAATAGTATTCTACTATATTCCTGGAGGTACTGTCTGCTCTATGAATGCATCCTGAGAATGTAGTCTTTGAAAACAGCAAGTAAGCTAGGCAGACATGTTATAGAATATCATCCATGCCTCTCTTCTGACTCATATGCATATTTAGCTTCTCTGTTTTCCATTTAGAAAATAGACTTTCTGGATCTTAGAGTAATTTGACCTCTGCAGTGCCCGGCATTAGTTTAATAAAAGATCCTATTCCTCACTTGTCAAAATCAGCTTGAACAGAAATGCATTTTGAAAGCACAGTGTTGGTAGCTTTAGGTAGATAGCAATGGCAGTTATCCACAATAATGGAAGGGTACTTAGCTAAAATTGGTCACTATGAAGTTTTAATGTCCTTTTCAATATTTTTTTTTCTAAGAGCAAGTATAATATAGATGGTTGTGTTTTACGGGATGAAAATAGAGATTTTCATAATTCACACCCAAGGATGTCCATTCTGTGACTTTTTAGAAAAAAATCTTTATTTTGTGCTTTTACGTAGATTCTCTTCCTTTTTGCCTTGTCTTCACAGCATGGCTTGAGTTTGGGCAGTATCCATCACAAAAGAAGGTAGAAGATTCATTTGGTTCCTTTTATGAAGATAAGATAAAATTAAGAGGAAGTGGGTGCTATATATTGCTAAGCCCCGCTGAGGATAAAGGTTTTATACTTGCTTGGAACATTTGTTGAAGTTATTAAGTTTAGTTTTCTTATTTTCTCAGACCTTTCTTTTGACTGGTTTTCTGGCATTGACAACATTGGTTTTAGAGTCTGGCTAACAGTGATGTCTAGTTATGTAACATACCTGCTTACTGAAAGGTTTTACTGTATTATCTAGAATCTTAACTTTGTACTTTAGAACAGTGGCACTTACCCTTTCTGTGTCTTGGAGATTGTGGAGAAATTCAGAGAAACGTATACCAGCTCCAATAAGAAAGCCATGAGATTCTTTTCTGCAAAGACCTTTGCATACAAGAACCCAGTATGGTTTTCATTTTAATATATGTGATCAATTTCATTTTCTTATTTTCAAAGAATAAATTCTAGGAACCTTTGTAGATTTTTTTTTTTTTGGTAAGATATACTTAGTCCTACAGTGATAATTAGTAGGATTTAGGAAAATGGTCCCAGACTTGAAACCAATTCTAGCTAGTTGTTTAATGTATTTCCTGCATTTCAGTAGGTTAGTGTCATTACTTGACTTCATCTTTAGAAATAAAGTCCTTTTATTAGCATCCATACTTATGTCCTTCATTCTTCGAGATGAGAAGAAAGATAATGCTAAGCAAAATAAGTTCAGGAAGAAAGACAAATACAGGATGGTCTCACTTATGTGTGGAATATAGAGAAACATAACAAAGAGTCAGTGAAAACCAAATCAATTATAAACTCTGAACATCTGCCTGCAAAACGTAAGCTATCTGAGTGGGAAGGTGGCAGGAAAGGAGTGGTGGGGGGAGAGGGGCCTAATGGAACATGATCAGGGATTGTTGGGGCTCTGGTGGTAGGCAGGGTGTGAAATTATACATTTGTAGAAGTTTGAACCTTTAACCCCCAGAGCAGATACAAAGATGTGAACCTATTTATCCCAGTGAACATATTTTGGAAAACAAACAAGAAGCAGGATTCTAGCCCTTTAAAAATAATTATATTTTTGGGCCTCCCCTGTGGCGCAGTGCGTTGAGCACAGAGCTATGAAGGTGTCCACAGCTTCTGCAGCACAGAGCTATGAAGGTGTCCACAGCTTCTGCAGCACGGGTTCGATTCCTGGGTGGCCAGGGAGATACCCATATGGCGCGGCAGACCTCTCCTGTCTCCCCCGTTACTCCCCTCAGCAGTGGTGTCACTCTGTCTTCCAGGTCTGCTCCCCACTCTGTCTCTGGTGAATTCTCTCACCCTCCCATGCTCTGGCCTGTACCCCAGTTCTTATATAAATAAACTAATCTTTAAAAATTATATTTTTCCAGTGCATTGAAAATGGCACCCTACATTCAGGGTTTATTTAATTTTATGTGATAGCCCTTCACCCTATTCACACGTTCTTGCTATAAATTTCAAAACAACTTAAATGAGAATCTGGCTTGTTAAAATTGATTTTCATTCATTGCCAATGTTTATGCTATAGACTTTGAAAAGGAAGCTATTTAAAAATGACAGTATTGTAGCATTTGATATAGAAATGCAATATATTTAATTCTTCTAGGGAATTTTAATTGTGTAATTATAATTTCCATATTAGATGCTGACAACTGTGTGGTTATTATCAATTTATATTGTTTGAAGTTAGTAGCAGACTAAAAAAATAATTTTAATGACATTTTAGTTTGTTTCAAGAAAGGTGACATCAATGTACAGTGCATTTGAGTCCTCACACTGTTAGTCAGTTTCAAATCATTTTAAGTACTTCCTGCGGTTCTGGTAATCATCTAGCTTGCACAGCTACCCAGAGATGCTGAGGATGTGATGTCTAGCAGTGCTGGTAGAACCTGCTTTCTTTCCTAATATTTCTGAACAAATGGTCCCGCATTCCGAACAGTTCCACTATCACCAAGTTGACTAGTCTGACCAGGCACTAACTGGCATTGCAGAGATGTCTCTCCCCTTTTCCTTGCCATCACTCATCATGGAAATAAAGCAATCAGGGTTTTCCCTTAAAACTACAGGGGACCTTTACAAAATGTTTTATTTCATAAACATTTTTTTACAGTTAAGTAATAGGAAAGTTAGTCAAAATATAAATTCTCCAAGATGATACATGTACATAATGATAGAACTAAGATGGGAATTTAACTTCCATGATGTCAGAGAAACCGAGAGAGTCAATGAACACCACCAGGGAACAGAATCAGCATGGGGGCAACACAAAGCAATGGAAAGAAAATAGTGGGGATGAGTTACCATATGAGCTTTGTTATTTGCTTACTGCTTAGAATCTGAGGATTGTTTACAAAATGAGACTTGGCTAGAATTATTTACAACTATTTTTCAGGGGCATGTATCTGAAACACAGGAGAGTAGAAAATTCATAATAGTGAAAAGAAAATAGAAAATAATATGGAAAAATAAAATGTTTTTGAGTTAAAAATGTTTCTAACATAATGTAATTCTAAAAACACAAGACTGAATAGAAAAATGTAAAGAAGTAGGAAAAAAATTAAAATGCTTTCTCTAAACAACCACCATTAACATTTTAGTATATTTTGTTTTATTTTTGCTGCACTTTTTATTAGCTGATATTCCTTATATATAATTTTGTATAATATCTGGCTTTTTATTGTATTGTAAGCATTTCTCATTATGAAAGCTTTATAAATACTACATGTACTGTTTATATGATGTTTCATCATTATGCCATAGTTCGTTTTCCCATCAATTATTATATTATTTGATACTTAGGGTCCTTATGATCTTTGTTAAATATATGACATTATGATAACCTTGTTTATAAATATTTACTGACATGTTACATAATTCACATGATTAGATTTCTAGATCTGGAAGTCAGGTTTTTAAGGAGGGTGAATGTTAGGAACTTTTAAAAGGTAGGGAGGACATTGAAAAAGCCTCTAACTTCTAGCTGTTCATCCTGGGAATCTTTAAGTCTACATCTTTCTGTGAAGAAATTCTTTTCTTTCTTATGACCTTTGTGGACTTCTTGACCCATTTTATTTTTTTTATGTAAATTGTTAAGTTTAAAGTAAGGCAGGACACCATATCTAGGATAGAGTCACTTTGCCATTTCTCCCTGTTTCTGTTTCTGGCCAGACATTCCAATTCATGGCTGTATTTCTTGTCTTTCTAAAATTTCCTAGAGTTTCTCTTAAATGTCACTAATTTTAATAGCTTAGCAGTGGCAGTGCTGCTTTCTGGCAGTGTCCTGATAGCAGCATCAAAGCAAAGAGCTAAAATTTTACTCACTTTGATTGATGAGCTCATTTTGTTACAGAGAACAAATTGGATTTTTTTTTAAACTGGTAATAAAAATTAATGTGTGATGTTGCTTTTTGGATGTTATTGGATCTCTGCCATAACACAGATTTCAGCAGTAAAAGCAGATAACTTGGCTAAAAAGTTACCCCCCACCTTTTAAATTTTTAAATTACCCTCAGAAGTAAAAGGTGCTCTCCTAATTATGTAACCCGTGTGTGTGTGTGTGTGTGTGTGTGTGTGTGTGTGTGTGTGTGTGTGTGTGTAAATAGGCTTGAAGGTTTATGGGGAAAACAGTGGCAGCTGTATAATTGTTTGTATTATAATTTTCCATCTAATTGTGATGTTTATTTCTTTTCATTTCAGCACCTCCAAGGTTTACACGAACTCCCGTTGACCAGACTGGGGTCTCTGGTGGAGTTGCTTCTTTCATTTGTCAAGCTACTGGAGACCCAAGACCAAAAATTGTCTGGAACAAAAAAGGGAAGAAAGTCAGCAATCAGAGATTTGAGGTATTAGGTCCATTGTTCTGTTTCTCTGGGGGAAGAATGTATCCACTGGATCTTCGTTGTCTACGTTACTTGCTTGTTTTTACTCTGTCATTGTCGCTGAGCTATGGCATTCTTTATGTTGCATGTCCTGGAAAATTTAACACTAAATGATCTCTGTTAAAAAAAGAAAAAATGATATGAAGGTTCAGGTGTCTGATTTAGTCTCTATTTCTACCAGGGATCAAATAGTATTCCCAGCATCTGTTCACCTCACCTTTAGATCACTTCTTCCACTTAAGGTTGCAAGACAAAGCCTCACATACTTACATGACCTAGTCTAGAAGATGAATGGAAGCTTCCTACACCATTGACTTTTATTGAATTACATGCTTATCTCTGAACCATTCTGGGAGGCAGCTGAATGGTATAGGCTAACTTACTTAATTTAATAAAATGCACCCCTGTTACTGTGAAGAAAGTCAGTTTAGTATAACCCCATGGCTTGGAATTAGGGAGCAGTGTTTTCCCAAAGAAAATTCAAATTCTTATTACCAGGAAAAGGGGAATCGGTCCTGGACATCAAATGAACTTTTCCATTACACCTTATACCTGAGTCTTGTCTGTAACATAAATTAGAATAAGAAATTCACTCAAGTGTGTTAGTGCATAGTATGACTCTTGAGGAAACATACCCTTGCCAGATTGACATTCATTAAACCAATTGAAAGGAAATCAGTTTTCTTTATCACAAAAGTTCAGTGTGTTGATAAAACATACTTCAGGTATGACCTTGGCTGTTTGTAATGAGATTTATGGTTTCAAATTAATTTATTCTAAAAGGAAATTATAAGCTGCACAGGAAAAGAGTAGAACAAAATACACTATGTCATGCCAATAATATAAAACATTAGTAGGATAGCTTGAGACTTACAAGCTATTAAGATGTCCAAACTATGCCAAATTATAAAATTCAATTCCACTTACCTGACTTTCTAATGTGTCTCATGGACTAATTCACAGTTTGGCAAATTAAAAGTAATTCCTTATTAAAAGACACCTAGCAACCAAAAAATTCAGAAAGTTTGAGTATACTCTTATTTTTTTCTCTTGGTCTCCAGAGTAATAAATTGGTCAAAGGCATAGGGAAAAGTTGAACTTCGGATTGTAGTTGAGAAATGGTAAATTTAAAATTAAATCCCTGTAGTGATAAATATCAAAATTATACCTTAAATAATCTTTAGTAAATATTTCCTATATTATTTAGAGAATACTGTGTGCACACATCTTTGGTGCACATTATTTTTTTACTTTAATGACATTGAGTATTTTGTTGAAGTAGAGTTTGTTATCATGCTTGCTAGTGATGATGTCTTCTTACAAATCTTGCATCAAATATTATAATAGTAAACATTTCAAAGCATGAGCTCTGCTGGGTATAAGTATAATTCTTAGTGGGAGTCAAGAACATATCCAGGAAAAATTTATTACTTTTACACAAAGCACCTACATCAAATAGTATCTAGTTTTGAGTTGAGATTTTAATAATTGTAATAATATATATGTAATCTTTGACTTCACAAATTTTTAAGGTCCATGCTCACATTGGGGGAAACTGATTTTACTCCCTCTTCTATCTCCAGCACCTTGTAAAATTGTCCGTAGTCGGTACAAAATGCATGTGGGGTATTCACTAAGTGAATTCAGATTGGAAATTACAGGATTAACTTCTAATATGTGAACTAGAGTTTATTTGTTGTATGAGGATAGGTTTTTATAAAAGGAAATATTTTTGAAGTGTAACCATGCGACGATGTGGAACACTGAAAATTCAAAGAGGTACTAAAGATATCTAAACTTTTCTCTGCAATAAGCTATGGGATGCTCACATAGCTATCTGTTTAAATAATGATATATTTGACAAAGACTTCAAGTATGAAGCTTCTCTCTCCCAAGGTGCATAATGGAGTCCTTCTCAAATGTGTCCTTAATAGAGGTGAAAATAAACTGTGGTGCTTTGAGAGGTGGGACATTTTGGCTGGTTTTGTGAATTTAGAACCTAAATGAAATGTCCAAAGGACTTGAAGTAGACATTTTAGAACCATTCAGTCTCTTGCATAAATTGACATGCACATGCACCACACAAAATCTAGAAATGAGCATCCCCCATAAATATATTCATAGGGCATTATCAATTTTTTCACTTCTTAGGCACAAAGTATTATTCATGGGGAAATGCAAAATGACAAACAGCACAGCATCACAGTGAACAGCTGAAAAAGCACACAATAGTTATAGAGAAGGCAGGAAGAGGACTCCATATTTATCAGTATCATCATCATCATCCCCATCATCATCATCATATTATAAGCATACTACTTGAATTAGCTGACAAATAGGATTACTAGTGTTGCTAAACTGTTTCAGAGTAGAGTTCATAATGGTAGTGAATTCAGGCTTACTGTTTAGGACATTAATTTTCTGCCTGGTGAAGCAAGCCTCCATTTTACAGCAAAAAGTGCTCTAAAAATGCAGAAAATGCTAAGCTAGAACAAATACTGGAATGATTTATGGTAAAATTAATGCACGCCATCAGGCTTCTTGGGTTGTGAAAGCCGTCTCGTTGGCTGCCTAAGTACTAGATTTATGCAGTTTCTCTTCATGGTTTGTTCATCTATACTGTTCAGGATGAGACACTTTAAACCAGAAGAGCTACGGTAGTGCATGCATTAATTCTTCACTCTGTGGTCCAATTATTGAATGGATCTACATGTGCATATGCACTGTCAGAGACAGGATAATTTGAAGAGTTTATCCAACATAGTAGCAAGTCCTTTACAAAATGAATAGGGTCAGATTGCCCTAGAAATACATGCTGGAATTTTTTCATGAGCAAATCCTAGATGCTTTTCAGTAGAGACTAGAAATCTACATTTTTTGCATATGTAGTTTTGTGTCTTTCCCATTGTTCAGGTGAAGATCCATTATATTAGAACAAATATTCTATTTCATCTCTGTGTCCAAATTTAGTTTAATAGTGCTGCTGAATTTATTCTGAGCCTTTCAACTGACTTACCACTGCATTAAGAAGTTTAGCTGAGAGGTAGACAATTGTAACAACACCTGTGACAGCTATCGTTTCCTCTAATAGGTAATAGAGTTTGACGATGGATCTGGATCAGTTCTCAGAATACAGCCCTTGCGGACTCCAAGGGATGAGGCCATTTATGAATGTGTGGCCTCGAATAATGTGGGAGAAATAAGTGTATCCACCAGACTCACAGTTTTGCGTGGTAAGTGCTCAAGTGCAAGGTTATTGCTTGTGTCATTGATGAAATTCAAATCCCAGGCATTCTGTAGGACCTTCGAAAAGACTGACATGGCACTAAAGTGGGACTTGAATTGAAATAAAGAGTGTATAAGGGTTAAACTTCTAAGTAGATAGTGGACACTCTCTCTCATTGTGTACCTTAAGCACTAAGCAGGGAGAGAGAAGAAAATCTCAAATAAGTGCTCATTTCAAATGGCCAGGTACCGTTTTGATTTTTGGTAGAGAACTAGAAAAATAAGAGGTTGTATTACTCTTTAACATGTTAGCATTACTTGTGCATGGATTTTTCACATGTGAGTCAGCAACTACTTTCTATAAATTAACTAAAGCTGTCATTAATGCTTGCAAAATTAAAGGAACATCTTTCATCCTGAAGATGAATTCTTGTTAAGCAGAGGAATCAAGAATTAGAAAGGCATGAGTTTTCTTTATGTCAAAAATGTGTTTTTATTTTAGCTTTTTATATTTCTTGTGCTATCTATTCTTGCAAAGTGAATAGAGATGGTGTGTCCCCCTTTTTTTCCTGCTATGTGGCTTCTGAAATTTGAACAATGCGTGGGGGCACTTGCAGACCCCTAGTACAGTGTGTCTACTTTCTAGACTTTGGTTTGAATGACGGTGCTAAAGAGTGAAGTCTGGTGATGACTAATACTCTGCTATGTATTTGTGATTCTAGTCTTTTGCGGAGAAATGAGAATATCACGTTGCTTGATTCTAGAACTTTGGATAGTAGACTTTCAGATGAAGAGAATTGAAAAAAAAGGATCAAAATTTAATAATCCCAGAGGAATGTGCATACATTAAGTGTGTGGCTGCTTAATTTCATTTTTTTTTCCTACTGAAGGATGAATTTATACTATCAGTTTATAAAATTAAAAATGTTTCCCACTTGATCTTTTTAGTACCAAGATTAATTAGATACCTAGAAAAAAATGAGGTAACTTCTATTTATATCCTAAATATAATTTAAATAATAAAAGCATCTTAGTATGCCTCTGGAGAAATGTTGACCAACTAGATATAGCCTTTTAGATCCATGGAACAGAATGATGCTTAAAAATAAACAAGTCAGATTTGAATTATATTCTTGGCCTTTATGGAATGCTATATTCATACAAGAAATGCCTCATATCTCTATTACAAATGCAGAGTTAAACTTGTAAACACGTTTACAATTGCTAAAGTTAAGGAGTGCTAAAAATAAAGAGATAATATCTCTGTAGAATAGATAAGGGGGTTCTTGTTTGTTTTGTTTTTTGTTTTTAGGTATCATTGGCTTATAACACTGTACATGTTTCAGAGTTACAGGTTCACACCTCTTCAAGTGCATGTTACACACCCCTAATGATAATTGAATGGGCTACCTCTTTTAGGACAGGAGGTTTAGCTCTCCAACAGGACATAAGATGGGAGTAAAAGCCGCTAGATCAGCTTTCTGCTTTAAGGTGACACTTTTATCACTCTTGCTGTAGTGCAATATTCAGAAACGAAGCTAATATAAAAGTTGGTCAGAAAGAGTGAATTCCATAGATATGGAGCAAGCAGCCACATAAGCACTCACCCCATCGATTCACCACCACCATCCAGAGTGTATGACCGTAGATAAGGTCATTTCCACTCGGATGGGCTCATAGATACAAACTCTCAAGTATGAAAGCTGGTTCTAGGCCACAACAGTAAGCCCAATCAATGAGAATAGAAGTCATAGATCCTTGTGAACTATAGGTAATTGAACCCTATTGATTATTTTTAATTTTTTAAAAAATGTTTGCATAGGTAAAGGAAAGAATAAAATCTGTCAGACGATAAGACAGTAGAACACAAATAACAAGAATTAGAAGTCAAATTTTAGAACTCAGAGGAATCCTACAAAATATGTTTATACATACTGTAAAGTGTACTAAAATACATATGTATTTTTCATGTAAATGCAGATAAAATGTCAGGATATTACAAAATAATTATTCAGGTGTTCATATCTGAGCAAACTCAAACTAATTTGTTTAAAATTTTTCAACTTCATCTGCTTATTTTTGGAACTAATGCTATGTAGAAAGTTATTATAAAAGATGCAGCAAATGAAATTTATCAGAAATATCTCATTTTTTCCCACTTTATGATTTTAAACCTTTTAGAAGAAAATGACAGCCATTTGAATCACTTAAGCTTTATTCTTTCGATGAACACATTTACAGAAAGTTGGAGGAAAGTATCATTGTGCTTAGACAGTGAGAGGTTTTCCTGCTGCCCGCTGATGAGGGGTCCCCTGTCTCATCTGCTTTTCTCTAACTAGCCACCACATAAAACAAATGCATTTGAAAATTGTAACATGATTTGATTTACTCTGTGTCTGTCAAATATGAAAATTTATGATTCTATTCAAGTATTTAAACCTTCTATTTTTTTTTTAAAGACTGTGTTTAGTAATTTTGGAACTGTTTCATGAGAAAAAAAACTAAAGATATTTTGGATAGTGGGAAAGTAGTCTAAACAAACCTTAAAATAGAATAGTTTTTTGTGTTACTGTGGCATGAAATAAGGGGGGTAGAAATGATTGTTTCCTAGAGTTACCTCTGTTAAAAATTTCTAAATAACTACTGATAAGTATTAATAACAGTCGTGAAAAACATTCCAGCTGTAAACTGTCCGTCATAATACAGAAATAGAGTGAACAGTTCTCTAAATGAGTATGAAGAGTTTTATACCACAGTTGAAGAGCTTTGTGTCCATTTTAAGTTCACTTTCTCTTGCAAATCATGTTGCCTGTGCTGCAGTAGATGGAAATGGCTTTACACTGTTCTTCCAGAGGACCTCATCAGATGCCCATTTTGTCCACATGGATCATTTACTTTTTCCCCACTTTGCTGACAATGCCAAAAATGTGCCAGCTGTCTTGACGGGTTTTGTCTAAGTGAGCTGGATGGAGATCACTAATTTATTTCACACAGGCTACTAGAAAACTTAATTAATTGGAGATTTAAACATCTGACCTGTGTGGCTAATGCAGAAGACATCGTAATAATACTCTGACCACCCATGTGTATTGAAGGGAGTATTTCAGAGAAAACTTTCTGCCCATAGCTTGTTCCAAATTACCCTAGCTTGGAAAAACTGTTTTTATAAGGAGGATACCTATAAACTCAGCCTGAGTGTGACCTGGGAAGTAGTATTTGGGCATTTCCCAACTGCAACCTGTGGACTGTTGTGTGGAAGTAGCTTTGGGAAAGAGGGGGCGGGGGGGAAACCTGCCCGTTTCCAGGTTTTTAGTTACTCTGACTGTAGGAACATTAGGAAATACTAGTTGCCTAGATCCGTGGCACTAAATGGATCTCTCATAAACATGTTTTCTATCCTAAGAGGAAGTTTAAGTGAAAGTTCCGATCTCACCAGGAGGTCATTAAAGGCTGAGCTGTACCTGGTTGTAGAATTCTGCAATGGACTTTGAATTAGACACTCAGCCTGTACTGAGGGGCAAACATAGGAATAGAGGGGGTGTTTTAAAATGAAGGATCATCATCCAGATAGAATGGGTTCTTCCTGAATCTTTGGTTTCCTTGCCACAATTTTTCATGGCTAACATGTCAAGAGGGAAAAAAATGATGTAATGATATCTAAGGATGGAAATGTTCTCTCAGATACATATTATCAGCCATTGAGCAGGGAAATTGAGCTATCACCGTCCCTAGACTTTCCTTTCGCCTAAGAGTCCAGAAGCACCTGCCATTTTTAAGCAAGTAGAAAGTCAGCAGTGCTTTTTTTGTTGTTGTTCATATAATTCCCCTCTCTAAGAGAAAATTCTACAAAAAAAGCAATGTTGCCTTGAATTATCTAAATGTCATGTTGGCTAATTTAGTTTTTCTTTTTAGGCAGTTATCGGAAAACACATATTTTCTTGTCATTCAAAACAGCATGTAATATACTATTTTTTAAACTTAGTTAATTATTTTCAGAGATGTCTCCATTCCCAAACATCAGTATCCCCAAACTACCACCACCATAACAAAGCTGGATTTAATATATAATATTGTTCCTCTTAACTACTTATAGGTATCTAGCTTGGTCATAGAACACATACAAAGTACATTTATTATCTAAAAAAAAAAAAAAAAAAAAAAAAAAACGACTGCCCAAATGTGAGGCAAATTATTTAGCTAGTTTAGCAAACGTATTTTATGAAATGGCATTTAGGCATCTCTATTCTATTTATAAATACATCCCATTTTATAAATGATCACCATCAAGACAAAAAGCCAGTATGCAAAGTGCTTCAGTCTAGGTCTCAGATAGCTGGAGTTTCAGCTGTGACTTTGTCACAGAATAGTGGTGGCATCTTGTCTATTAACTCCCCTTCCCTGTTCTTTTTCTTTTTTTCCTTTCATGTTCCCAGGAAAGGCATGGGATCGGTGATCACTCAGATCACTTCTTCTAACTTTGTATGATTCAGTGACATGCCTATTTCAGCAAGTGAGTTCGTGCAAGATGGGAAAAAAACATGCTCCCTGAAGGTGACTGTTACTGAGTTAGTAAAACACACAATGAGCAGTTGGATGAGAGAGGGAAGGCATTTCACTGGGAAATGGAGAGAAATGTTTGCATAATATGTCTGTTTCAAAAAATGGGAGCCATTATAGCAGTTGTTTAAAAAAAAAAAAAAACATAGAAACCACAACAACTTTTACAATCTTTCAGGGAGATGGCAGTCGACTCTCTTCTTCATTGTGCAGTACCCTGTGATCAGAATTAGCATGTTCATTACAGTCTCATTTTATTAATGCCTCTTTTTGAAGATGAACACAGTTGTCCCTGCTGTGAAAATGGTACTTTTCCGTTTATGTTATAAAGTGATCTCGGCTGGGGATCCAGGCTAGGAACATTAAAGAACAAAGCACAGCTGCTTGACTGTCACACAAAAGGATTTTTATGAAAGACTGAAACAAAAGGAAGGGGTGGCCAACACAGAAC